TACACACACACACACACACACACACACTCACAGAGAAATCATCCCCTTGGGGGTGACAGCCATGCCACAATCTCTTCTCCATTTTCCTCTCGGGATTCTGGGCATGCTGCACACTCACCTAGCATTATCTTGAAACTGCAGGAGTCCGGGACCAAAAGACAAAGCTGACCTCCATCTGCCTTAACCTCCACACTACCTGCTGGCCCTAGTGTCTGACTTTTTTAGTTTTAAGAGAGATATTTTTGTTTTAGGGAATGTATGCTCACCCTAGAGAGACAGAGACACACAAAGCGAGAAATCACCCCCTCCCCAGGGCAGGGGTGGCCACGCCACAATCCCTTCTCTATTCTCCTCTCAGGATTTTGGGCACACTCATGCCCAGTGTGAGTTTTAAGCTGCCGGGTTCAGGACTTAAATCACAGTCGACTATGTGGGAATCAAGTGATGTAACTATTATGCCATCTGCTGGCCCCAGTGTCTGAAATCTTTAAGTCATACAAGTAAATTCTTTTGCAATCAGTTCCTCAGTGTTCTAGCCTCATTTCTTTCACCTTCACAATATTCCATTCATGCTGAGTTTCTTGAACCCTGTGTTTTGTCAGATATCACTTAGATAGGCTATAGATTATTTGACTAGAATCTCCTCTTTTTTGACTGGGCTTTCTTCCTTATTCGTGGTATGGTAGTGACTTTGCCTCTTGGTATGAAAATACTTTATCTATTTCTTTGGTCCTCCAACCTAATGGCACGTTCCTATATAAAAAAAGATTTTTTTCTCTTTTCTTTATCTCTTTTTTTTTTTGAGAGATTTTCACTATAGGGCGCGTGCGATCGCCAGACAGACAGAGAGAGACATTAGAGACAGAAAGCGAGAAATCACCCCCCAGGGGGGATGGTCACGCCGCAATCCCTTCTCCTCCATTCTCCTCTCGGGATCTTGGGCATGCACGCACACACGCCCGGCGTGAGTTTTAAGCCGCCGGGTCCGGGACGCGAACCGCAGTCGACTACGTGGGAGTCCAGCGACATAGCCATTACGCTAACTGCTGGTTCCCTCTTTTCTTTATCTCTTGACTGACATTCAAAGAGTAGGCATTTTGTTATTTATTTAAGTTTAATGCATCTATAAGATCTTGTTGTGTCCTAATTAATGTTACAGGTTCTGTAATCAGGCTGCTTGGGTTTGAATCACTACTCTACTTTGTACTAACTATAACCTTGAGCAAATTACATGACATAATTTTTGTGAATTTGCTTTATCAATAGGTGTTTACTAACCGAGGGTGATTATTGCAAGATTAAATGAGAAAACCCAAAATATTAAGTATAGTGCTTGGCATATGTACACTCAATAAATATTAGGTATTATTAATTATAAAATTACATGAAACAGCATCAGCAATATACTTATGTCTACCCCATTTTGTCTGAGAAATCAAAGTCAAGAACTGACTTCCATGTACTTTTTGTTTTATAAACCATTTTTACTCTTACTCTTTTTTTTTATTTCATACAGGTCTAGCTAGTTTCTGTGGTGCAGTGTTTCGCAAGTATCCAATTGATCTTGCTGGTCTTCTTCAATATGTGGCCAATCAGCTAAAGGCAGGCAAAAGGTATTCATAGCAAACTATATAGAAATGAAAAGGAATGATTAGAGTACTTCTGGTGTTATTAGATGTCAAGATAGTTATTTTCCTGAAAGGCTACGTGTTGGTTGTAGGGTCAATTAGAGTGGTAGCTCACTTATGTGTGTAGAATTCTTTAAGTAAAGGAAATGATAACTTCATAAATAAAGATACTATTTTTCAGAAGTAAGTGTAATATTTGGCTATATGTGTAACTCACTAAAAGATGCTTTCACTTACTTTGACTACCTTATTAGGCTTCTGATTAAATGGGTAATATGGTGTGTCATATATTCTCTTTGACAAAAGATACTGCACTGTATTTTGTGCTTCTTGATACTAATTGACCATTATTATATTGGGCATCAGGTAGGAAAATGTTTATTTTGAGGGTAAATGTAGTATCTTAAGGCATAATTAATTTTTGTGTTTGACCTTTAGAGAAATGTAAAGCTTGTCTATAGCCACAGCACCCTGAACATGCCATATATTGCCTGATCTCAGAAGCTAAGCAGGGTTGGGCCTGGCAATGTTTGTTATTTATTATTTGTTATCTTTTTTCCTTTTTAGTAATAGGATTGTTTATGAAGATGTATTTATACCACCCAATCATTCTGTATTGGAAGAGTAAAAAAATGCTATGAAGAACATTATTGGGTTAGCTGATAAAAATGAAATACGGATGGTAGACTGAAGTATTGTGTTAGTGCTAGATTTACTAAAGCTGATAACTGCTGTGCTATGTAAGAGACTAGTTCTATTTTAACGAAGTATACTCTTAGGAATTATAGGGGTAATAGGCCATGATGTAAATAAGTACCCTCAGATGATTCCAAAAATTATGTGTGTGTGTGTTCATGTGAAGAGAGAGGGTTGGAGAGAGAAAACACACAAAATAATAAAGCAAATAGGAGTAAAAATGTTAATAGGTCAAGTTGGAGTAAAAGGTATGTGGGTGTGCTTTGTACTATTTTTATTTTTGCATCTTACTCTTAAGTTTCAGCTTATTTACAAGTAAAAAGTTAAAATAGCTTAAATATATACTGTTTCTTAATATTTTTCTTTTTGGAATAGTTTTGACTTGCTTATATTGAAAGAAGTGGTACAGAAAATGGCAGGGATAGAAATTACGGAGGAAATGACAATGGAACAACTAGAGGCCATGACTGGTGGAGAGCAGCTAAAAGCTGAGGTAGGAGTTGCTGTTTTTGTTTACTGATTCTTTAAATTCAAAATGTATGTATGATTGTAGAAAAAAATTAAAATAATATGTAATTACATAAAGCAAAATGCCAAAACAGTACATACTCTCCTCTCACAGTCACCCCATCTCCTTTTAAAAATGTATGTATACTGGGGCTGGCAGGTGGTGTGATGGTTAAGGGACCTAGACTCCCACATTGATGACCGCAGTTCAAGTCGCAGAGCTGGTGGGTTACTTCTCACTTTCTGTCTCTCTCTCATTCTGTACCTTGCTGATGAAATTAAAATAAATGAAGTTAATAAAATAATTATTTAAAATTATATATACTAATTATTCTGACCTTTTAAAAATACTGAAGCGCAAAGTATAAAAGTAGTAAAATATCTGTAAAAGAAAATAAGTATCACATCTTCTGTGGTTCTTGATACCCTCACTGGCATCAGTCTTAATCTCCTAACTCTTCTGGCCTGCGCTCAATAAAGATAATCCCTTATAAGGGACTGCAAGGTCGAAAATATGTAGAAGTTTAAACATAATTGATAGTTTTCTTTAAGCCAGTGACCATAATTAGTGATTGTGCTACTAAAATAAGTTTGTGAAGAAAGGGAAGGATTGTAAGTCAACTTTTTTTTGAACGTCTTTTTCAACTCACATGGCATGGATTATGTATTACACACTGATAAATTTGTGTCTTCTCTTCTGCAGGGTGGTTATTTTGGCCAGATCAGAAATACCAAAAAATCCTCTCAGAGGTTAAAGGATGCACTATGAGACCATGATCTTGCTCTTCCTCTCTGTTTGCTTATGGCTCAGCAGAGGAATGGGGTGATTTTTCAGGAAGGCGGAGAGAAACATTTGAAATTGGTGGGAAAGCTCTATGACCAGGCAAGTGAATGTGGCTTTTGTGTTTAATGTAGAGTTTTAAATCCTGATAAAGGAGAGGGTGTCATATAATTTGAAAAATGTCATTTTGCATGTCATACAGTGTGAAACAGCTGCAGTGTAAAATAGACGTTCTGGAAATAGGACCTATTTCAGTGCAAATTAATGGCATTTCAGAGATGGTTCTAGATGTTAAAAGGCTTTTAATTAATTAGTATTCCATCATTAAATCTCTACAGCTTCAAATTTGTTCTTACATCTTTTCTGATCTGTGGAAATGTGGAATTTCAATTTTAACTGAGTAGATACTAGCTTTTTGTTTGTGATTTAGTTGGTAATAGTTAAACATATTTTTATAGGCTAATCATAGATTTTGGTGGTTAATATTTATAAATATAGTCTACTTTTTTATCTTTTAAGGGCAGAGGAGCTTCTATTTGCTTATACATTTTTTTTGTGTTATTAAAGTTAAACAAAGTTTACTAAAATAAATGAGCAATAGTTTGGAACTTTGGAGACCCAGTTTGCTATTAAAGACTTGAATTAGTCAATTTATCAGGTCTTTGACATCTTTTTAATAATATATTTATGTGATTATGTTGGTAGATGGTCTCTAAAGTCCTTTCAAATTGAACTTTTGGATTCTTAATTCTTAATCAAAATATTGTTAAAATGACATGCTGTAATTATTTTGGAAAATGCTTGTGTTGACTTTGTAAAATGGTTGTACATATATGTTTTCTTTCTTGTATTTTAAATTTAGTGTCATGATACCTTGGTACAGTTCGGTGGGTTTTTAGCATCTAATCTAAGCACAGAAGATTATATAAAGCGAGTGCCTTCAATTGATGTGCTCTGTAATGAATTTCACACACCCCATGATGCAGCGTTTTTCCTGTCTAGGCCAATGTATGCACACCATATTTCGGTAAGTATAAGTATCTCATTACCATTCAAGAATGACTTTATATTATTTCTTAACCATTTTATTTTAATGTTAATATACCTTTTAGTTAGACACAGGTATAGATTGTGTCTTTTGGAGTTACTCTTATATTTTGTTAATACTCCACTCTGAACAGTACACAATGAAGATGTCTCTTTTGAAAATACATTTTTACTAGTTATGTAATTCTGTAGTTATTACTCCACCAGTTGTCCAGGTCGACATCTTCTGAATCCTTTAAAACTAGTTCCCCAGCATTAGTGTAGGTGAGCATCACTGGGAAGCATCTTAAAGACCCTGAATCTTATGGCTCACAATTTGAATTCAGTAACTTGGAGGGTGCTTCAGAATTTGAGTTCTTTCCTTTTTTAAAAGAAAAGTGGCATGGTGATTCTTATTTTTTAACAATAACTTTTATTGTAATTTCCTTTTTTTTTTCTTGAGAGGTTTTCGCTATAGGGCATGTGCGCTCGCCAGACAGACAGAGACAGACAGAGAGACAGAAAGTGAGAAATCACCCCCCAGGGGGGATGGCCATGCTGCAATCCCTTCTCCTCCATTCTCCTCTCGGGATCTTGGGCACGCACGCACACGTGCCCGGTATGAGTTTTAAGCCACCTGGTCCGGGACACGAACCGTGGTCAACTACGTGGAAGTCCAGCGACACAGCCATTACGCTAACTGCTGGTTCCCGTAATTTCTGCTTTACATGTATTAGTTATACATCTTTGTGGAGTGTAGTGTGGCTTTTCAAAACATATGTACATGTAATGATCAAATCAGGGCAATAAACATATCTATTGTCTCTAACATTCATCATTATTTTGTTTCTTGTACTTTCGAAATGTGCTCTCTTGTTTGTTTTGAAACACATATTGAATTTTTACCAACATTGTTTACTGTGTTATAGTATTCTCTAACACATTCCATTTATTTAGATTCTTATGCACATGAATCTGGGCATATCACTGTGAAGGACCCTCTCATTGACTACAGAGAGTCCTGTTCTCTCAGTGATGATGCCTCTATCAGATGGTTGACTTACTACTGCCTTGAAGTAAAGAAAGGAAAGACAGAAAGACTTAACAATCCCTCAAGCCCCTAAAGATTCTTTCCTTCCCTTTTTTTATAACTTCTGGGAAGAGTATATTTGTGGGTCTTGTTTTCTCTTCACCTAAATGGAACCATCCCTCCTGCCTCTGAAGAAAACCCCCTTGCAACAAACTAGAAGCTTTCTAAACATGACATCCTAGTAGTGACTGGATTGAAATGAAAGTGAGGGTTTGGGAGTCCTGCTGGTTCAGCTGTTCCTTGCAAAGCAGTGACCTCTAATGGGGATTTGCTTTTCTTTTCCCCCTCTGGACCCCTTCAGTCTTTCATTTGGGAACTGTGGTACTTTCCTAATCTGACTGGTGGGTGCCCTAGCATATTCTTCAGTTTTCTCTGGGCTTGGATTTTTCTGTTTATTTGTTGTTGTTTTAAAGTCTACTATAAAAGGCTTTCACTGCAGAATTTGATGGAAGCTCTTGGTTCTTCGTTTTCTTAAACTAAGATTCTTTCTTTCTGGCCAGTAGGGATATAGCTGTGTAGTAGATATATGCCAAAAAATTCTGAGAAATTTTGGATTTAATTGGTTATTTGTTAGCTTTTCCCCTCTAGTGCTTATATATCAACTGGTATATAGTCTAGCATTATGAAGCATTTCCTGTTCATTATGCTCAAGAGTGGAAAAGAAGAGTAGGGGGTAGTCCTCTTCTTCCCCTTTAGAATCTCTCAACCAAAGATTTGTCTGTTGTCTTTGTGTAGTTATGTTGTATGTTGTCACCCCGCCCCACAATAGATTAGTCTCAGCTATATAGTAGTAGGATCAATTTCTTTAAAGACTGAGGTGGGAGAATTGCTTCATCTCAGGGATATTTTTTTTTTTTGGAGAGATTTTCACTATAGGGCGCGTGTGCTCGCCAGACAGACAGAGAGAGACATTAGAGACAGAAAGCGAGAAATCACCCCTCAGGGGGGATGGTCACGCCGCAGTCCCTTCTCCTCCGTTCTCCTCTCGAGATCTTGGGCATGCACGCACACGCGCCCGGCGTGAGTTTTAAGCCATCGGGTCCGGGACGCAAACCGTGGTCGACTACGGGGGAGTCCAGCGATATAGCCTTTATGCTAACTGCTGGTTCCCAGGGATATATTTTTTTTTAATCGCAAGAGTATATGTGTACCCACCAAAGAGAGAAGATGGAAAGAGAGAGAGAAAGCACTCTTCAGTGGGGCATGGTCACACCAAATCCCTTCTCCCTCGTTTCTCCATCCTGTTGGGATTTTGGGCGTGCACACTTCATGCCCCATATGTTTTCCAAGCCTTCTGGCTCATGATCTGAACTGTAGTCAGCCTTTTGGGATCAGTTCCCTTAACCACCAGTCTACAGGGCCAGCCAGGCAAGTCCTATTCAGGAATTCTGTCTCCCCCTGTGCTGTACTGAGGAGTGAACACACTAATTAGCAACATTGAACCCTAGCAAATAGAAGCACGTGATTGCCTGAAGTTGGCTGAACATTTTTAGGTCAGAAAATAGAGCAGGTCTTGATACCAATAGTGACCTTTTCTCTAGGTTATGTGAAATATTGTGCCTTTTCAGTTAGGAGATATGAAAAAAGGGTATTTCCCTCTCAGTGTTGTGGAGGAAAACAGGTGGTGATATAGTCAAGTCCCTGATACATCTTTTACCTGTAGACCACATGTCACCCTGTGCAATGTGAGTTCCTTAGCAACTTTAGTTTCACTGAATGGATATATAAGCTGCTTTGGGGACCTTTGCTTTTGCTTCTTGGGTGAAAACCTTTTGCAAAGAGCCTTTAGTAAGAGGGCAAAAGTATCTTATTATTAAAGAACTGTTAGATCCCTTTTGTAAATTGACTACAGCAAGTTCTCTTGGGTATAATTTTACCAAACACTGCTGATTCTTGAATCGGTAAGAACTTTTCTAACAGAAATCAGAAGTACAGCAACAACTGTACATATCAGTTCTATCCCATACACCTAGTTCCCCAATCTACTATGCTTTGTTGTTTAACTGAAGATGTGAGCTTGACGTGAGAGTTAAACTGACTTTAGACAAGGACATATGAAGGATCTCTACAGAGTTCATGGAAAATGCTATTATGAAAAAACTATTTTGTGGGGCCAGCAGATGGCGTAATGCTTACATTGCTGGACTACCATGTAGTTGACCATGGTTCGATTCCTGGACTCAGTGATTTGAAACTCATGCTGGGCATGTGTGCATGTGTGCCCAAAACCTCGAGAGGAGAATGGAGGAGAAGGGATTGTGGCATGACCATCTGCCCTGGGGGGGGGGGTGATGTGTCGCTTTCTCTATCTGTCTCCCTGGCAAGCACACGCACTCTTTAGCAAAAATCTCTCTCAAAAACAAAACTATTTTACACCAAAATAAATTCATATTTTAATTTCATTTTCCCAGGAACTTCTCAAAGTACCCTCGTATTAATCTTAGGTAAATATGAAATTTAGTTGCCTGTTTTTAAAAAATGCTTATTCATTTATTTCTTCAGAGAGTGAGAGAAAAAGAGAGAAAAAAGACAGATGCAGACAACTCCAACAGGGTCCTCATGGCATGATCCATCTTGCCTCCTTTGTCTTAGCCAGGATCAGGCATGCTTGTGCAGCCAACATGTGTAGGGACACCTTGGGGTGTGAACCTGAGACCTTCTGTGTGACTGTAGAGCCTTGCCACTCTATCACCATGGCTGGTCTAGCCATCTTTTCTGATCAAGCCCATTCTAACTGGATAAGGGCCCGCAGGGTGCCTAGCAATAGAAGTAACAGATCAGAGACTGTAGAGACACTGGTAACCTAATTTTTCATTTTGATTGTTGAGAGACCCTCTCGGCAACAGATACTTTCCCTAGTTTATGTTCTGTGATCTTGACCAAATGAGGTAGCTTGGCTCTCTTGTACAGGCGGTTTTAGCACTGTTTTGTTAGAACTTTAGGAGAGGTCATGCTGCTCACTTAGATTAATACTAGTTACCTTCAATGAGACTTACTTGCTAAATTTAAAAACACTTTGTTGTTGTTCTTTTTTTTTTTTCTGGAGAGGTTTTTGCTATAGGGCATGTGCACTCCTCAGAAAGACAGAGACAGAGAGATAGAAAGTGAGAAATCACCCCTGGGGGGATGGCCACGCCGCAATCCCTTCTCCTCCATTCTCCTCTCGGGATCTTAGGCACGCATGCACACGTGCCCGACGTAAGTTTAAGCCACCAGGTCCAGGACTCGAACCGTGGTCAGCTACATGGGAGTCCAGCGACATAGCCATTATGCTAACTGCTGGTCCCTAAAAACACTTTGTTATCCCAGCTGCTATTTTCTCAAGGTCTCAGATGTAATGAGACCCTACTCTCATAAATAACTTTGTAGCTTTGTCACTTGTTTGGTCTCAGTAGTTACCAGCATGCTCTTTAAAATGGGGAAGTGGGGAGATAAATCTTCCCGCTTTTAGAACAATTGTAAGATTCTCCGGCCAAGCTTCAGTTACCCTTTGGAACAAAGAGAACCTCACATGCTTTGAGTGAGCTGGGATATAGTAGCACCCAAGGCACTCAGGAAGGAAGGCTGCCAGACTGTAAGGACGTGAACTCTTGCCAGTCACACTATAAAAGTAGAAATGAAACCTTTGACCTCTGACCGTTTAGTTTTGGGTTATACGTCTAAGTGCTTATCTAGCATAAAGAAAAAGCTAGATTTAGGACTTTTAGGTTTTTTTTTAAGGATGATGCCTAAACCGAACCAAATTGTCCATGCGAGAGCTCTTATATCCTAAGTAGACTAAAGGATATGAGATAATAGGAGGAACTCTACTTTGTGTTATTTTCTTCTCTACTTTTGGCATATACTCTGTGGACTAATGAGCAGTCCTTCCTGTTGTACAAATAAGTTTTTTTTTTCCTCTCTCATATAATTAATGATGTGGCCTTCTTCTGACTCTCTCCCAAACTAAGATAAAACAGTTATGCCAAAGAAGCTGTAGGTTCAGTTTTCACATGCCTTGAACTTCAGTATACCATACCATACCTAATTTTATTTGGCTTCATCGTACAGTAACCAGCTGGTCCTAGTGGACTTGGGAGTTTCCCAGTTTTAGCACTAAAACCTTATAACCTAAGAAACCCCTAAATCTCCAGCAGACCTAGACAATTGGTCACTCAATTTAGCAGTCTTAACAGTAACTTTCATATAACGGTTTTTAATAGTCATCCAGCTTCTTGACAGTTGGACTAACTGGTGAACTACATACAGTGGCACTACATTTTGTCTTGGTTGTCTATGACTAGTTTCATTCCACCTCTTTATTAATGTTAGGACCCTTTACGTGGTTCCCTTGAAGATCTCAAAAGCAGGACTGGAAGCGCTATGTGTCCGATCCCTGATTACAACACTAAGTGGGGGAGGGCATGAATGGGAGAAGGGGCACACATACTCTGTTCACTTGACTCAGCAGGTTGCTTCAATAAGAATCTTGAAGAAGCCCTAGTCAGCATATTGGGAATAAACAGTGGAATGGCTGCCAGGGAAGATTTATCTTAAAAGAAATGTTGTTGATAAGGTTTGAGATTGGTCATCTTTTGATTCTTTAAACGGGAATATAGGTGTTTATACCGTGAAAGTCAAAGCTATAAATTATGTTGTATGTATGCATTTTTACTTTTTATCTCCAGTCCAAGTATGATGAGCTTAAAAAATCAGAAAAGGGAAGTAAACAACAGCATAAAGTTCATAAGTACATCACGTCGTGTGAGATGGTGATGGCACCTGTCCATGAAGCAGTTGTCTCCTTACATGTTTCCAAAGTCTGGGATGACATCAGTCCTCAATTCTATGCCACTTTCTGGTCATTGACAATGTATGACCTTGCAGTTCCACATACCAGCTATGAACGAGAAGTCAATAAACTTAAAGTCCAGATGAAAGCAATTGATGACAATCAGGAAATGGTAGGTTTTTGCTCTAATAGCTCAAGTACAATAACTTTATATTAATTTAGAGTTACCTATCCTTTGCAATTGTTTTAGCTCAGGCTCCTTCAAGCTGTGGTCTTGTTGCTGATATTATTTTCTTAAGTGGGTTTAATGGTAATGTTTCAGTGGTGGGGCAGGGGCTTAGTGAACGAGTAGAGGTTATGATTAATCAAAATGTATTTTAGTTTTTTCTATTGAGCACTGTGCTACTAACTTAAATGATCTGTGTGACTGCAATTACAAGTGCAGGAGGAGTTTCTAATAAGAGAATGTTATTGAAGAGCTCAGTCTTAAGCTGGGTAGGCCTTGAAAGTACAATACATTTGGAAATATGAAAGCAAATAATGAGGCCACTCTGGGGTTCCATCGAAATCGGGAAGTAGCCTGGGTTATTATTTTTTTCTTCTTCTTCTTCTTCTTCTTCTTCTTCTTCTTCTTCTTCTCCTTCTTTTGGAGAGGTTTTTGGTACAGGGCACATGCGCTCACCAGAAAGAGAGAGACAGAGAGATAGAAAGCGAGAAATCACCCCCCCGGGGGATGACCATGCCACAATCCCTTCTCTTCCATTCTCCTCTCGGGATCTTGGGCACGCATGCACACGCACCTGGTGTGAGTTTGAGCTGCTGGGTCTGGGACTCGAACCACGGTTGACTACATGGGAGTCCAGCGACATAACCATTATGCTAACTGCTGGTCCCTCTGTAGCCTGGGGTTTGAGGAGACTGCTTTTACTCTAGTGAATGAGTTTAGTGATAAATTTGAATTTTAGGGTCCATATTATGTAGGGCATTGAAAGTCAAGTAAAAGAGAAGACTTGGTAAAAATGAGAGCTCTTTTAAATTTATGAGCAGGGAGTTAATAATGGTAAAAATGGTACTTTCAGATGATTATTCATGACAGCGGTATGAAAGATCCTTTTGATAGGTGGGCAAAGTAGAGTAGAGATCAACTGGGTGGCTTTTTGAGTAATATATTGTGAGGTACCGAGAGTGTAGACTGTGCTGGAAGTGGTAGAAATGCACAAGACTTGTGAAAAAGTGAGATATAGGATAGAGAAGGAAGAGCCAAAGAAATTGCCCAAGACCTGTATTACCCGTGCTGGGAAAGGGGGACTGCTCTGATGGTGTATGAAGGCTGGGTGACATTGTTTTAGATATGTTGGATGGAGGTGAAAGCATATCTAACTGAAGTAACTCTAAAGTATGAGCATTTTACTCTTCAATTTTTTTAATTAGAGGAGGGAGGTAATGTTACAAATTCTAACAGTTAAGAAATCTATCTCACTTATACTTTGTAGCCTCCAAATAAAAAGAAAAAAGAGAAGGAGCGCTGTACTGCCCTTCAGGACAAGCTTCTTGAAGAAGAAAAGAAACAAATGGAACATGTACAGAGAGTTCTACAGAGACTCAAACTGGAAAAGGACAACTGGCTTTTAGCAAGTAAGTTATTGGAGTTATTACATTCCTG